GTTATGCAAAAGCACAGTTATGCCCCGGGCTCCGTCCCTCGCCGCTCTGTAGATGTACAGGATATCCCCAGTGCTGTGGTGCAGGCATCCAGGCTTACAAATGATCCTGGCAGCGCTCCATGGGGTGGTGGAGAGTTGCACAACCTCGCCCGCATCCTGCGATGTGCCGCCTCTTTGGTAACGCGCTCCTTTCTCCCGTCCTCCCGGCCTTGGGCCTCGGTTGGGAGCAGGCTGGCTGAGAAGGTTGAGTCCTGACAGTCTGGAGTCTTCTGCGTATACAGAACCAGGGTTTTTCCCCTCTCCCGGTCCTTCCTGTGGTCAGGGGAAGGCTTGGAAGGGTTGACCCCTCTGGACCCCGATAGTTTGGCCCAGAAGTGTCCTAGGAAATGGCCAGGGCAGGGCTTGGGAGTTCGCTTTTCTGCAGGAGTGAATTGTGCGGGAGGACGGGAAGAGAGCGTGCTCTGCACTGCACGGGGGGTTCAGGTCAGGCCTTTCCTTCCTTCTCCAAGTTTCCCGGAATTAAATGCTCTGTTTGCCTCTTCCTCCAGCTCACACACGATCCAAATCCCACCTGCACCACCTGAAGAAGAGAAGGAAGCTGGAGGCTGCCAGCCGTGCTGCAGAGACCGAGGGGGACAGCGGGGGCACGGAGACCTCGGGCGAGGACAGCGGCTTGCCTTTGCCGTAGGCCTGCAAACCCGCTGGCGAAGGGGAGCAGCCGCGCTTCCACCTGTGCGGCGAGGAAGGGACTTGGTGCTGGGTGGCCTTGAACCGAAGGAGCTGAGTCATTTCGTTGGGGACGAGGCAGGTGCGTAAGGGATGGCCAAAGGCCGTGGGCTGCGTCAGATGCTCTTCATGTGGCCTCACCGCGCCGTGTTCCCATGCTTCCCCAGCCCTGCCTGGAAAGCGCTGGGCCCCGGGGCAAGGCTGCTAGGAGCATCCTCCCATGCCGAGCGTTCATTCCTGCCAGAGACGCGGCATTATCCTCGGAATGGTTGAGACGATCCTGCTGGCATGTGAACGTGGTGTTCTCGGAGACAGAACTACCCTGCGCTCCTCCAGCTTGGCCAGGAGCGCAGCTCCGGAGCTGAGCGAGCTCTTACTGCCTTTATTGTGGAGAGGATATATTTTTTTCTTTTATATGGAAATAAAGTTGCAAGATCATTGTGGGTTCCCCTCCCTGTTAAACAAGCGCAGTTTTCTTGCTCTCTGTCTTTCCACCTGGCCCAGGATCCCTGCTCTGGGCACAGGGCAGGATGTCCAGGCCTGGTTTCTTCTTCCAGTCACCTTTTCTGCAGCTTCTGAGGGAGCTGAGCAGATGTTCTCAGCGTGGTGGAGGCAGGCTGATCCCTGTGCGCATAGCAGGTGCAGAAGGAGCTGGCACCTGTTAAACAGGAACTTGGAAATGATCTCATCAAGCTTGCAACAGATGAGTCTGTCCTAGTTAGAGCTGAATTCCTGGGGGTTTACACTGTGGTTTGGCAGTGGGAACCGGCCCCGCATTTGAATCCGACTTGCTGAGCAGCAAATTCCTTGTGCCGCATCTGCGAGGCCGTTGCTCTCCGCAGCCTCGTTCCTGGAGGTCGCAAACGCCGTCTGCGCCACCGCGCTTCCCGGCGTGCCGCTCCGGGTGAGACGGGCAGGGCCTTTTCCAGGGCAGCTGGGGTTCTCCTGGCGAATGCCACCAAGATGGTTCCTCCCAGGAGGGTTTTGGTGTGGCAGAGCCCATTTTTTTTTCCTTCAGCTGCCTGTGATACACCATGTGGCAAGAGCCCTCTCTCGGGGCTCAGCCTGCGAGGGGAAGGGCTGCGTGGGTGGGTCTGCCATCGCAGGCTCTGGAGATGCCTGCTCTGCTGGGGAGTAGATTAAACCTCCGGTTTGTCTTCCTCAGCGTTGAATTATTTCTGTGATGCTCCATGGGGTGGCTGCCTTGGGCCGTTTGATAGGGGCGTGGAGCGGCTTGGGAGCTCGGACTGAAGGGAATGTGCAAGGGAAAGCTGGGAATTTGGGTTGGCTTTTCTCTGCCAGCGTTGGGCAGAGCCGCGCATCAGCTTTGAAACGCTGGGCGCTGCGTTTGTGTTGCTGGGTCTGTCCGCAGCGCCAGCTGAACCTCTCCTCCGGCCCAGACTTGTTTGCCGTCCGCGCTGACTCCGGGTGTGTGGATGGGGGCTCAGCCCAGCGCTGGAGCACACGGCCAAGGGGTCGTGGCGTGGAACCGCCTTCTCCTCGTCTGGATGGATGAGCTGCAGGAGAGGCCGGGTGTAAAACCCCACTCGCCGCTGATGTGCTGAGCGATGTCTTCTGATAGACAGCACGGACGTGTCGAGTCATCTCCCCAGGCCAGGCCGGGATCATCGGGGCAGCTCCGTGAATGAGGGGTGGGATTATCTGCTCTGTCTCCTGAGTGCAGTCAGATGACCATGCTGTTAGAAGTGGATTTAATATCCTTAATCGGTTTAATATGAACTTTGTTATCCCCCCCCAGATAAATGTTATTCCTCTACCACAGTAGCTGCTAGTCTGCCTGTTCTGCTCCTAGCAGGCTGTGCTGCAGCCACGGTCGGGCAGGGTCTCCCAGACCTTCCTCCTGCTCCGTGCCACCCGCTGCAGTGCCTTGTTTTGGGGGTAGCAGCTCCCAGGTGTCCCAGGAGAACGGGGGTCTGGCATGCTTGCTTGTGTCTGCTGTGGCTGGACTGGGAAACGGGAGGTGGCAACGTGCCCCTCTCCTGCCAGCAGCAAGAAGCAGGTGAGTTTTCCTTCTCGGAGAGGTAGGGGCTGCCGATGAGGACACAGCTTTTTATTTAGGCAGAGCCGGGGCCAGCATCTCGGCGACGGTTTGCTACCCAAAGAAGAAACCAGTGTCTGTTGTACCTCTGCTGTTCAGAGGACTCAAGGCAGGGACTGGGATCAAGCTCCTGGCAAGGATCGCACCAGTTCCTGGCGGTGGGCACATCGTTCAGCTCCTGCTTCTCTTGCTCCGGGCCCTGCCTGCTCCCGGGGCTCCCGCAGAAGGCACAAACAATGTGAAATCGCTCTCCAGTCCCAGCCAGGACTCGCTGAGAAAGTTGTTGTGGTCTCAGGTTTCAGGCTGCTGTCGGTGCCGAGCGGTTTGGGGATGGGGAATGGCACTTGGCTCCATCTGCCCTCCGCTAATCCCCAGACAAACGCAGCTCTTCCATCTGTGCAGCCGGAGCCGCCGAGCCCATCACACCAGCCACTTAATCTAAATGGCTTTGGCCAAAGATAAGGTCATTAATTACACTGGGATTAAGAAAACAGTACAGGCCTGGCGTGGCTTGGCTCGCCATCAATTAAAGTCCTCGGCGCGCTGGCCCGGCTGAGCATCGCAGCTGGAGAGCTTGAGCTGGAAGAGACCTGCGCCCTCGCTGACGGGGCATCGTCCCCGTGGTGCTGCCTGTCCTCGGAGGAGTCCCCTCACCTGGGCGCTGGTGTTTTGGCGCGGTGCTGGGGTGGGCTCCTCTCCCCGGCCACCAGCAGCGCTGGGTGCCAGGCGGAGCTGGCGATGCAGGTGCCAGGGGACACCCCTGGGACACCCTGCGGGGAGTGCAGGCACCGTGGCAGCCAGCGCAGCCCGAATCCTCGCGTCCAGCAGCGAGGGGTACACGGGCAGCATCGCACCATCTGCATCCCCGTCACTGCCTGCCTCCAGGCTTCACCAGCTCCTTCCATGGCACCGCATCAAGCTCAGCCCGGACTCCCTGCCTGCACGGGACGGTGGGGCTGGCCAAGTCCCACCGCCCTCGCTTGTGGCTCCCAGCCCTGGAGCTCAAAGCAGCCAAAGCCCCTTTGCTGACCTCAGATCCAGTATCTGTGATGTTCGAGGACTCACTTCTGCTTACCTTTTGGTTCCCTTTTCTTAGCGTGTTTTGGCTGTGAAATGCTCCAATCTGCTCATCCTGCAAAGAGATTTCTCACCCGTACGGCGCTGCCCTTTGCTGGGGTGGGACGTGCCACCTGCTCTGCCCCGCAAGGTGCTGCGTGGGGGACAGCTGGGGCTGAAGCCACAGATGTGGCCTGAGTTTGGCCTCAGCCCTCCCCTCCTAAAGAAGAGGCAGCAGCGCAGGGGGCCTGGGGGGGACCTTACGAGCGGCCGGGCTGCAGCTCTGCACCAGGAGTTGGCCGGCACCGGGGCACCGTGGCTCAGCTGCCATGTCGCCCGGCCCCGGTGACCAGCTGGTGTCTGTGCCCGTGTTCGCTGGTGGGTTTAAAGGATCCAGCTGTCCCTTAACTCCCGTTGGAGGTCCTGGGTCATGATGCTGTCCCAGCTCTTCTCACCCCAGTTCCCACACTGCAGGGATGATCTTGTCCCCGTGCCTCCGATGGGCTTGGACCATCGGGGGGATGGTGTCACCTGGAGACGGCAGCTCCTGCAGACACGCAGCAGCTGCAGCCACCAAACGCAGCAGCTGCAGCCACCAAACCGAGCCATGTCCTGGCCTCATCTTCAGTTCCCAGGTGGGCTCGTTGTGCCGCAGAGCACCAGGGGGATTTAATGAAGCCTGGGTGATGGGCTGGGGGAGAGGGAGCCCCTGGGTTTGGCAGGGCTGGTGGGCAAAGGTAACTAATGGGGAAACTGAGGCACGGCTGGTCTTGCTCTGAGAACTGCCGGGGCTGGAGCAGGGCAGGGCGTTTCGGATGCCATGGCCCATCCGGTGCGTCGGCAGCATTTCAGGCAGGCTGCGGGAAAACCGTGTTGCAAGAGCCTAAAAATAAAAGGAGCTGTTGGCTGAGGTTGTGCAACAGCGTGTGTGTCCCGTCCTGCGCGGGAGTTCGGTGGCTTTGGCGGCA